TTTACTTATTCAAATCAACTAAAATTAGCTTCCTTTTCATAAAACTTTTACAAGGGACAAACATTTTTTTGATGTGTTCATTTAATAATGGTGCTAAACCCAATCCTGTTTTATAGGTGATGGGGTGCATAACAAACAGTATTTCCTGGGAAATATAATTGACTAATCCTATTATGTCTGTAGCAACAAATTAACCTTATTACTACTAGTAAATGGTGATTGATTATTTATGCAAATAAGTTACCAAATTCAGCTTTCTGATTGAAATAAACATATACAAAAGGTGCTTTAATATGACTTGAACTTTTTAATTAATAAATCCCTTAGGGGTCTATTAATTCACTCAGTGCAATATTAGTTATTTAGTTGTGTAATTTCTCTTCATGCCAACATATCTGCTTGCATAAAGATGAGATAATTAATACCCATAAAAATTAGCAATAAGTTTTAGAACTATTTTAAGATATACAGTGAATTTGTAATAAAAACAAACTTAAAATTGACTTTGAAAGTATGCTATCAGTGTATGTCAGTAATCAACATAATTGTCCTAAAATTATGAATACATTAAATAATACATGCTTTCATTTATTATCTCTGAGTTTAAAACACAATTTTGGCTTACAAAAATATTCACCTTTTCTGAAGAATTATTTGTATGAATTAATGTTTTATTTCTACTCATCTAACTTAAGCTATCTTAGTTAAGAAAGTTTAATATAAAATTAGTATTTTACAAACTAGATTAAAATTATTTCTAAATTATTGAAATCACTAATGAAATACTGTTTCTCTACTTGCTAAAACGCCATTAAAATTATTCTTTTAAGCAGGTCAATAGAACATTTCTTTTTTCTTTTTTCTTTCCTATATTATTTATTTATTTTTTTTTTAGCTGAGCCATCCTGCCACCTGTTGGCAGCTCAGCAGCAACTCAGCTCAGGCCGGGAATCGAACCGGCGACCCTGTTTCTCAGAGCGCGCATTCTTGAGCAAGCTCTTAACCAACTGAGCCACTCAGCTGGCCCCAGTAGAACATTTCTTATCCTGACATACTTCTTATAAAAATTATTTGCATTTGAATATTTAAATTTTCAAATAGCTGCACAATTTGAGAATAACAAGTTGCACAAGACTTACATAATAAATATTCAATTCATACTTGGCTTTTATTGTGTACTTAACTGTATGTTTAATAGAATTTCAAATCAAAACTCTTAAAACAAACAACAAAATTAATCTGTAAACATCTAACTGAGGAATATTTTCAAATCTACAGCTTAACTTCTCCCCAACAGCCAAGTCATGCCAAGAAAACCAGTAACAATTTTTGGACTCAAGTATGGGTCTTTCATTTTCTCTGAGTCTTCCTTAGGTTTGAAAAAGTAAAGTTTTTTTTTTTTAATTAAAATAAACAAAATAGGAAATGGAAGCAGCAAAGCCATAAACGAGCGTGGTTGTTAATTTCAGTGACTAACTGTATAAGCTGTAATGGAAAGTTGTTGATTTCCTTCTAAAACAGTTGGCGTTAACAGAAATTAAATTGAATGCTGCTCGTGTGGTTAAGAATCCCGTAGGGTGCATTTATATGTCCTAGTCCCAGTCCAGTGACAGACAGATTGGAGGTACTCGAAACAATGCTAGTTGGAGTAATTCACTGATAGATTTTAAAGTTAAGATTTATATTCACTCTATTAAATCTTAGTGTTGCATATTCTTGTTTAGGTGAAGATAAAACATTGCAGTTTTTGCTTAGGTGAAGATGGTTTATAATTATGACGTAGTATTAATTTTAAAGTTCAACCTCTTCATGTTATGATGAAAAATACTGAGGTAAAGCTAATAAAGCAAATCTGGTGGATATAAGAAAAAAAACATTTGAAATTTCCAGTACCATCCAGTTAGTACAACCCCCCTGACCAAAGTAAACGGACATTAGGGTGACCAAAAAAAAAAAAAAAAGTTTGCCTTGGGAACGAAAGTGTTTCCCTAGTTCAAACAGTTGTCTGTCCTTTTATCTCTAGTTGCTTGTGATCAAATATTAAGAGCCTTTTAACAAAGTATATCAACTTGCCAGATCCAAATAAAAATCCCTGATAGTTTTATAACACTTTTTCAACAGGGGTGATTTGAGAACACAATCTCCCCTTTATTGCCCTCATGTCTGTGAAACCAGGTGCGAAATGGAGGGAGCGGGGACAAGGGGACACAGCATTGTAAAGTTTTCTAACTAATTTTCATTAATAACCAAAGGAAAGCAAAGGAAGGAAATGAGAAAATGAACGCCCCCAACAGCTAAGGCAAACATAAGAAATTGAGTGTTTAGAATCTTAGTTTATCCTTGACAGGTTAAATTCTAATACGATTGTTATCATTTACTGAATGCTCTCTAGGGGACTGGCACTCTTTTAAATATGTTCCATTCAATCCTTATAACAGTCTTTCAAGGCGCTGAGTGAAAAGGAGGCTAAGAAAATTCAAAGTAATGTCCTATTATCTTACTCTAAGTGGAAGAGCTTGGGTGTCACCTCAGCTGTGTCTGATGACAGTGCCGATACTCTTTCTACTGTACCACAGCACCTCAAAAACAATCGTTTTATTGGATGCCAGGGAGTGCTGGTGGCAAGCAATCACTAAACTGAAGTCTACATACACTGATATTACTAGAAGTCAGGATGTACGAACACAGAGAAAAATGGGATAGAGCACTGACAGCCTGGACTGGTTAACATGAGTAGACTTAAAACACAATGGTAATATTATTTTTAAATTCATTAAGTGTAAATGGGGTAAAATATATGGTGATGGAAAGAGAACTGACTCTGGGTGGTGAACACACAATGTGATATATAGATGATGTATTACAGAATTGTACACTTGAAACCCATGTAATATTACTAGCCGTTGTCACTCCAATAAATTTTAATTAAAAAAACAAAGAGTTAACAGGAGTGAATGGAGGTTGCTTACAACAGAGGTGTGTTGAGAATACTTCAAACAGCTGATTAAAAAAAAATTCATTAAGATCCACGAGTTAACATAGACACAGAAAACAGTTTAGTGGTTACCAGAGGGTAAGGGGGGAAGGGAGATGGTAGATGAGGGTAAAAGGGATCAAATATATGGTGATGGAAGGAGAGCTGACTCTGGGTGGTGAGCACACAATGTGATATATAGATGATGGATTACAGAATTGTACACCTGAAATCTATGTAACTTTATTAACCATTGTCACCCCAATAAATTTAATAATTTTTTAAAAATCCATCAGTTGAATCACATGGTAATTTGAGAAATAATTTGTTAAACCAGGCACTTAATTTTAAAACTGAAATTAAATCAAAATAGTTAAAAAAAAACCAAAAAACTAACGTATCTGAAGTACTTACGATACTCTGGCACAAGATAAGCAGCCCGTGGATATTTCCTGTTATATTTTTTTTATTAACAAAACAACTAATTCTTTATGGACTTTCTAAATGATTCCACTACATACTAGATGTCTAGATAATCCCAGATAACACAGAATTAACAAATGTTTCGGTTAAACTGGATTTCACCATTTTATAAATTGCTTTCTCACACTACATAGCATATAAACAGCACAATTAGAACTCAGATTAAGAATGCTTTGAAGTATAAAGAGTTATCAAAATAAACAACTCTACTGAAGAAGTACTATCATGTTTAAAGAACTGAAAGATATATTTATGGCCCTTTTAGTTTCATCAAAATTAAAAAGACTAGTTACTAAAGTAAAAAAAAAACCCCAGCATTTTGCTAAAAAGAATTCTTGGTTTGCAATTCTATATTTTATAAAAAGGTAACCTACCACAGCTAATGTTATTACACAGCTAACATTTTACATTGTTATGAAACTTATAATAAAAAGTAAAAATACTTTGACTTTTAAAAAATTGTCTTCAAGCTACTGCATAAGTATTTAGAGTCAAAAGACCTCAGTCTCAGTGCAAAATCTATTACTGCTAGTTTCGTGTCTATAAATCAGCCACAGAATTATCTCTGCGTTTCTATTTCCTTGCCTGTTAAGTGAAGATAACTCAGCTATAGGAATCCACGTCCACAATAAGATAGTCATCATTATTGAAAAGTACTGGCGTTTAGACTACGAAGTCGAGTCTAAAGGTGCAGGAAGCCTGTGTTCCAAGAAGACAGGGCTTCCGAGTACCTAATACATTTTTGAAGTAGATGCTTCTGAGGATGACAGTCAGCTTCAGGTCTCACCCGGAACCATTTGGACTTGACCTGCCCGTGTCTGAAAACATTTAAATGTGTGACTCTAACTACAGCTACGACACAGGGCTTGAACGTGTAGAAGAAAAAAATTAAAAAGCCAGAAATCGACAGTTTCCCACCCAACACTCAAGCAACAAAACACAACTCAACCCTCAAATTCATGTTTTATAGCCGTATCTCTTTGTGAGAATATTCTACATGCAATGTACTTTTGCTTAGCAACCTTCAAAGTACTCTGAATTTCCACATTTATATTTCTGTGTGAAGAGGTAATTGCTGAAGGACATTGGTGAAAAGCTATACCTTTTAAAACGTGCATCAAAATTTGGAGAAGGGGCAAGAATGGTTTTCATCTCGACATGAGCTCAATGAAAGGAGAAAGCCTGAAAGCTCCCTCCGCTGAAAAACTCGTTGCTTCTTGCTCAGCTCACAATACAACAATCAGCCACGCAGACGGGGTTTGCAAAACCAGACTCTGCCCTTCATGTTGTGTTGTCACAGAGGCAGATACACTGCTGACTTGGACCCTCCTGCCAGCGTCGCAGCGGCTGCCTCTATGAAACTGCTGACACACACGAGTCACAGTGTCTGCGTGCACCGACACACAGGCATGGAATTGAACTCGAAGTAGTGTCTTTGTGATATCTTTTCAACAAGTCATGTCCCATTCAGCCTGCTAGTTTGTCTCTGTCAGGCTAGGGGCCCAGGTGGCTCGCGGGAGCTGTCAGGGACAGGTAGACCAACCTGCTGTGTGCTGAGGAGGTAATGCATCTTCCGGGCTCGGTAATCTCTTTCTCTTTCTTTCCTTTCGAGGTCGGCCTTCGTCGCTTCTCTCTCTTTTATTTCTGCAAACTCCTCCAGGGCTTCCCTGCATCCAAAGGCTGCTGTTATTTATGATACTAAAAAAACCTGCTTACATTTTAATTCTTTCACTAATGAGAATCAAGTAAGTTTTTGAGGGGCAACTATCATCCACATCCATCAAAATCAGTGGTGCAATCTATCTTACCTATACATCCCTGAAATCTTTAACAAGCAACAAAAGTGATTGTTTTCCCAGTGGTTAAATTTTTTAGACTCAGATAACTATATATTATAATTAATTCAATCGTGGAGGAAATATACCAAATGCAAAATAAGTGCATTGCTATATTAATTTCTTTGGCTGAAGATAAACTATTTTGGACACACTTAACTATCCCAAGAAAACATTTGATCTACTGATTTCCTTTAAATTTTAATTTTGTTTTTACAAATCTCTAATCATTTATTTTGTATACTAACTAATGGGTTAATTTTAAAAGTATGATGGGCTTTTACACATATGCTTAATTTATTATAAGTTTACTTCTGTTAATAGTTCAAGTAATAGCAACATGATTACATATATTGTCCTGCTCTTGAAAGGTTGACATTTTGTCCAATTATATAGATAATGAGAATAAAAGCTAAATTAGGCGAGTAAGTTCATGGCATTCTGAGTATAATAAATTCCATTAAAGTAATGAAAGTTTTTCATCATTTATGTGTGTGCATCTATAAATTTAAACAAGAGATAAGACTTTAAAATATAATATGTAAAAAAAAACACCTGCTAAATAGAATGTTATCAAATATGAAAAAAATAAATCTTTTATTTTAATAGAACAAATGTAATGTAACTATTCATCTTAAAATAATGTTTTGAAACTGTACTTTATTCTTTTAAAAAATAGATATGTAACAGTGTCTAGTTCTGTAAGTCAAGTATTAAGTACATCATCTGAGTATTTACTTCAAAGATATCAGGGTAAGTAGAGAGAAAACTTCTAAAAATAAGAGGGGATTCTCATTTCTATTTCAATGTCTAGAAATATTTTTGTTACGATTTCCTGTTAAAAGGCTACTAATACAATACTTCATACAAGGTTACTCATGAAACACATTGACGTTTAAAAATCACCGTGCTATACCAGGGCAGCACAGCAATTTTTTTCAACATAAGATTAAATTGCAAAATAAATGAATTACTTGAAGTGGCATGGCCCTCATTTTGCCACCCTTCTCTTGAAAATTGCTTATTAATATGAAAAAAGAAGTCAGAAAATAGCCTGTTTTACCTTATGCATAGTATTTGGGGGGCTTCTGCACCCACAGAGCTGGGCTAGCTGCACATTTAGATTGTGTTGGCAAGCGGGTACAATGACCTTTCTGACCTGCATCTCAAGGCTATTATTAATCGCTAAGTAACCTGGTAAAGCCAAACAAATTTGTTTCCATTGAAAGGATCTCTATCTGTGTCTGAGAATTTGTTCTGTACCAAACAAACCTCATTAACTGTGTCCATTTTTGACAAAGAGCCAGGAGTTAGAGGGACTGGTGACCTTTCTTTGTCCTTAAAGTACACATTTCAAGGCAGTTACATATGAATAAATGAGAATTTTTACCAGGAAAAATATAATTGTACGTTATATAAAAAATTGAATATAGTATTAATTTTCATCTTTTGTTTTTTGTGATGCAAAAAAATAAATACTTTTGTCTATAATTCCTCTTATAAGTCTTTAAGATAATTTAAAATAACCAAGGACTGCCACTAAAAGGATAATTACTCAGATGCCCATGCATCTAATTTATATCATTCCAAAGATAAGCACAGTAACTTTCTGAGCAATCACAATATTAAAAAACATATCTACAAAGGAGTTTGTGCTCTGTAAATGATTTAATGAATATGAAGAGACCTCACCTAAGAAAGGAAAAAGGCCCAATACAATGAACACAACACACGAACAGGTGAGATACAAAGAAGAACATCGGACTTGACACAAAATCAAAACTGTGAATTATTTGAAGTGGTAAAAACGGTCCATCTTCAGGATAGGGAAACGTAAAATATAAACAGTGTGTACTTGGGGAGCTTGACAGGGAAAGCTAAGCCTGAGAGATGTGTACAAGAATGTCAGTTTCTAGTGTACACAGAAAACGCACAATAAACTCAGAAGGAACTGGGGAGCCCCCAAAATAAATCCAAGAAACTTGACAAAACACTAGAAAAGCTCATCTGGGGTGATCTCCGATCTCCAAACACAAAACAATTAATTTAATACATTCATACAATCTTTCATTCCTAATTGATTTATGGCCATACTTGAGAGTGTACAGATACACTAAACACCACAGTTATATTTATGTCAAAGAGTGTTTGTTAAATGACCGAGCAGGAAGAGTTGAATAAATCATTTATCCTTGATATATATGTTTTTGTTACATCACTAGAGATGAAAATATGGTTTAGTGAAAAGGATATAATAAAAATCATGATCTCATTAAAGAGTAAATGACAGAAACCTATTATAACAAGGATTACCCACAAAAGTATAAAAAATTATTATCTAATTTTTTGCAGGGATTTTTTTAATCTAGAACCTTTAAAAACAGTTAAACTTTTTTCCAAATAATTTCAGGTTGTTTTTATTTCAGGTGTGCAGTTTTATTTCCATCCCCTCCCCCCCCACACACACACATAAATCCGTGATGTATATGGGATAGATGTTACTAATTACCCTATTTTACGAATATGAAAACACATAAAGAGATGCAATGACTTACTCTGAAAGACAAATTAGTTAATGGTGGAAATGGAATCAGAATTCTTAGGTCTGTAGAGTCTAACTCCAGACCAAACTAGAATCATCCTGATACAAGAAATATAATACTATGCAGAAGATATTTTTTATTGACCGAACCACACATATTTTCTTTCATCTTATGCTTCTGTTTCCTATTGTATAGTTCAAGAAACTGGGGTAATGAGAGCGTGGTCCCCCGAACAGCAGCACCAGCTTCACCTGGGGACCTCCAGAAATGCAGTCTCAGGTCTCACAGCGGGCTGACTCAATCGGAACCTCTGGGGGTGGAACCCTGAGGTAATCGCCTGCTTGCTAAAGTTTGAGAGGCACTAGATTACACCAATGAAAACCGTCGACTGTCTTGAGGAATTGAGATGATTCAGTTCTATTCACTAGTATGACATCAGGAAGAGCGGCAACTACATTCAGGGAATAATCTTAATAGAATATCACCATATTAACTAAAGCACCATGAAGGGCTACAAATGAGATAGGATATGTATATCACAATTGCAATGCTTTCATAGAAATCATAATTTTGCCAGAGAAATAAAAAAAAATTATATGCAGGTTGTTTTTAAAAGCATAAATGCCTGAAATTTCAGAGGGTACTGCAGACAACATTACACAATTTCTCAAATAAAAACAAAATTCCATTATCCACACTATCTTTAAGAAAAAAATAATTCTAAGGGAGGGGGTCGGCCGAGTGGCTCAGTTGGTTCAGAGCTTGCTCAAGAGTGTGAGCTCTGAACAACAGCGGTTCAATGCCCGACCCGAGCTGAGCTGCCAACAGGTGGCAGGATGGCTCAGCTAAAAAATAAATAAATAAATAAACAAAGTAATTGGCAAAAAGAAAAAAAGAAAAAAATAATTCTAAGGGAGTGGATTTAAACAATTCTCTAGAGTCCTCACTCTGTTTTGATATTAATTTAACCAAATAACAAGAAAATTAAAGCGAAAAGAGAAGGCTAAGCTTAAAATATAAATACTAACTACAAATAAAGCCAATTATATGCTTGGACTTGGTGTGCGACACCCAAAAACATGTTGAGGCTGGTAAAACTCTAGAACAGGTTATCTGGGAGTCACTAAGATACCCAAAACATTTGCATTAGAAACAAAAGCTTCCCTTTAAGTCAGTTGGACCACATAAACCACTTATTTTATCAACCTGGTCACCTAAGCCCTGGAAATGTTGGACAGGTGTCACAAATTTCAACAGGGTGGCATCTGACAAACAGAAAGTACAGCTTCAAATTAAGCATCGGTAGCATATCGGCAACATTCAAGCACTCAGGTTTCCCATGGACGTCAGACCTTACTCTGAAACCTGGGGTTGAGACTTTGACATTTTAGATATATCTAGAAAAGTCCTCTCATCAAAAAACAAAACAAAAACAAAACAGAAACACGTTTCAGTTACTTAAAAAACTTAAAAACCCATTGTTTGTTGCAATATAAATCAATTTCTCCTCAAAGCAATTAAGCTGTTTTAAGAGTTAATATTACCATGAAGAAAATTGACAGTCATTTGTTTATTCAGTCAGTGAGTCATAAGAATGTTTAAAAATATTAAAAGAAACAAAGATGTGTAAAGCTCAGTCCCTGTGCCTTCAAATAGCTTGCAAATGAAATAGCTGATAACTAACTAGACAACAGACAGAAGAAGTCTAGAAAGAAACACGCAGCCCTTAAGTTCAGAGAGCTCACTTCCAAGGAGAGGGATCCGAAAAGCCTTTGTGTGTATGGAGACACTGGGGCTGGGAACGGGGCACTGAGCAGGCTGTCACTTAAGGAGAGAGATGGGACAGAGGAGGGTGCAATAGAATGAGGGTGAATGGGCTGTCTAACGGGAATGCCAGAAAATCTGTACTCTGTAGAGATTTTGCGAGTGAAAAAAGTAAAAAAAGAAAAAAAGAAAAAAGAAGATAATGGTTGACATTATAAAATTGCAATACCATGACTTCACTCTGATCATAAAAAGGGATTATCCAATTGCTCCATTATTTCATTTGCCTACTTTGCATGATTTTAAAAAGCAATAAGATTCTATTCAAAGCTCATTCATGAAAATCAAATTTTTCCTTCTTCTGGATCTTTTGAATAAACTTAGTTGAAAAGAATTCTTTGGATGGTATTCTTTCTAAAAATATGCACATAATTCATTTTAAAATTATTTTCCTTTTTATATTCTGGATAGTTTCTGTAAAAGGAAGTCCATTTTTATATAACGTATATGATGTCAAATAATAAT